AGATTTTGATTTAAAGTGTATAATCTAATATGAATTCTAAGTAATGACTGTGGAAGAAATGCATGAAAGTTATCTGTAACCAATCGACATGCTTTCTACAAGATGTAATGAAGGATGATTCTTTTTTTGTATTATTGTTCAATTAAAATAAAAAAATTAATTACTCTTGGAAAGGTTTTATTTATTTGCACAAATAGCACTTTTACTTGCCATTGTAGTTCATTTTAAATGTTAAAAGGTAATTTTTTGGATATTCTTGGGAAGGAGCAAACTTTCTTATCTGAGTTCTAAATATTATTATCCCAAAAGGGAACGGAAGTATACTCACAAAGTAGATGCAGCTGCCTGGCTTTTCAGAAACTTCCTCTGTCCACTAAATGTAACCTGGCTCAGCAAATTCAGTTCATCTTGAACATGAGCAAGCTTCTCTTGGATTAGTTTTTCTAATGGAATATTACAACATATAGATCCTTTATGGCACACCACATTTAAGAATTCTTACCTGCCTTGAAAACTGAAGGGACTTTCAAAGTACATTAGATATTAATTGGAATGGTTTTAGATTGGGTAATCTAAATTACCTAAATGCCCCAAAGAATGTATTCTCTTTCTCACCTTCAAGTAGTAACTGCTCCTTACTCTTTTTCATGTCAGTTATTGGTTTTTCCTTGGCCTGAAAAGTGGAAAATGATATGATGAAAAGAAACAGACAATAAAAAATATGCTGTAGAAATGAGGAAGGAAATCAATAAAAATAATCTCCCAGCTTTAAACAAAGTCTCCCAACTTTAAACAAAATAATGTAAATGTCTATATAATGTGGTCAGCAAAAACAAAAACTAATAGATGCTGTAGTATCAGGAAGAAGCCAACCTTTTTGCTTGTGCTACTGGTATTTACCCAATTAAAATCAGAGAGATGAGAGAGAGATAAGAGAATAAAGAGTTAATTATATATTTATTTATTAAATAAATATTTAATCTAATGTATATTTAAATACATAAATTGTCTCCAGTTTTACTCATCAGGCAAATATTAATATGAGGGAGGAGTATGAAAGGTAGAATGTTAATCAGAAAAATATCACAGGAAAAGATAATACAAATAAGAATATTTTAAACATTAATTATATGCATTTTAATATTAATAATCCCATCTGTTTACATGTTAGCTGGATTGAGAGACTTGCAATCTTTTTGGGACCAATCTATACTTTTATAAATATTTTGTCTACTAATGAGCAGCAAAGGGATAACAACAATATTATATTGCTAGAAAGAAAGATTGCATTTGGAACTTTTTCTCTTCAGATTTAAAAAAAAAACATGTTTTTGATTATTAAACCTTTTGTCAATTTATGTACTAATTTTTTCCCACTAAACAGGAGGAATGTTGCTAATTCAGCTACTGTTGAATTCAAGCAAAGCAGTCTTAGTGGGACATGCGGACCACAAATACATTAAAACCCATGTTTTAGCTTGGATTGCCCATTCCACTCAATAAGACAATTCCAGTGTGTACCAAATAATGAAAAACCTATCAGGTGTGCTTGAACTAGCCACACTGTATAAATAAATGCATGTATACCATTCAGCAACCCCCACATGCCCTCATCTGTCCAGCAGTGATCATACATTCGCACAGGAGCCACGGTGGCATATAATCTGGCATCTATGGGGTAATGTTAGTCTGTAAGTAGTCCTTGACATGCAACCACAATTGAGTCCAACATTTATGCTGCTCATTTGTTAAATGGGTTTTGCCCTATTTTATGACCTTTCTTGCCACAGTTGTTAAGTGAATTAATGCAGTAGTTAAATTAGTAACACGTGGTTAAGTACATGCCAGTTGCCAAGCATCCGAATTTTGATCATATGACCATGGGGATGCTGCAATGGTTGTAAGTTTGAAAAACAGTCATTAAGTTACTCTTTTCAATGCCATCATAACTTTGAATGGTCATGAAACAAATTATTGTAAGTAGAACTAACTGTACTCCTAAATTGTACAGACTTGTGTCCTTGCCATTTTGGGTAAATAAGAGCTGCATAGGTTTTCTTGGTGCATAACAAGTAGTCTTGCTACTGATGTCCTCGACATAACAATTATTGTGGGGAAAGTTCTCTTTATATATCACTGGTTTTTTATTGTTTTCAACATGGCAGTTGCCTAGCCCTTTTCCGCCTGGCATTTCATTTTAATCTCATTCGCATAGCTGTGCTCCTAGGAGTTATAATAGGAAGGTAAACTGAGAAAAGCACAGATGTGGCTCATTAGAACATCCAAGAATCGAGAAGTCAGCAGTCAGTCTGTAAGCAAATAATATGTACCTCTCTGTTCCTAATACACCCACAGAGCCATGACAGTATTTCTCCAATAAAGTAGCTGTTTCTCCTGGGAGGATTTTCCCATGCCGGTATACAGTAATATCCACTCTTACTATTGCATTTTCAGACCTCCACATGAAACTGTAAAATATCTCTTTGTGGACAGGGCCAACTGTTTTTTAGATAGTTTGATGTCAGTATTCCCAAAGGCAATTGGAATTCAAGATCTTTAACTCAGTTTTGCTGTCTACATTTATTACAATATTAATGAGTAATGTAGAATATAATTTATGCTACAGGGAAGAAAAACAGGCTCTTACATAAAGTTCCCAGAGATTCTTGTGCTTCTCCATCAATTCATCAAGTAACTGCTCAAATGCGAATCTGAAAGTAGAAAAAAAATAAACACAAAGCAGGAACAAGATAGAACAAACTATTGCATTGCAAATAATTTCAAACGCTTGCTGTACTTCTAGGGAATGTCAACTGCAACAGAATCTAGCACATCAAGCCCTTGGATGAGCTTTCTTGCAAGGCTGGTCAAGGGGAGGCATTGTCTCAAATGCAGATCCTGGGCCTCCCCTTTGGAAGCACTGAGCCACTTTACCTATATATCAGAGATGATATTCAACAGGTTCTGACCAGTTCTGGAGAAAGCAGAAAGCAGTAGCAGAAATTTTGAGTAGTTCGCAGAACTGGTAAATACCACCTCTTACTGGCCCCGCCCACATCTATTCTCTGCCTCCCGAGTCCCAGAGGATTAGGAGGAAATGGGGTTTTGCAATATCCTCCCCCTGCCATGCCCACCAAGCCACATTCACAGAACCGGTAGTAAAAAAAATTGAATCTCATCACTGCTATATATGTTAGAAAAAGTGAAGCAGGCACCAGTTTCAAAGGGCATTGTTATGGAGTGGGTGCTTGGTGTGGCCATGCCTATTACCATAATTGTGCAGTAAGCCAAGAAGCTGCAAATAAAAGCATCAGCCATGTTGGGACCCGTGGTGGTGCAGTGGTTAGAGTGCAGTACTGCAGGCTACTTCTGCTGACTGCAATTTGGCAGTTCAAATCTAACCAGGCTCAAGGTGGACTCGGGCTGGGCATATCATTGTCAAGGTAGGGCATCGTTATTTTCCTGATCCAGTCACCAAAGTGCTGATCCATGTTGAATCACCAACATTGAAAATGATTTGCGCAGTTCAACATGTGCAAGACTAGTTTGGTTTTAAAGAGGATGCACATGATACACATGCCCACAGCATTCCTGCAAGAGCTTCTAAAAATACAGTCTATTTGTTCATGTAACACCATTATACAGACATACTTGAAACACTGCTATAGATTCAACTTGTTCCATGTTCATTATTCAACATTGGCTATTCATATTCCAACGGAAGAAAATAATGGAATAGTAACTCATTTGTTTTCTGCACCTTGTAAATAAGTACAGGACTTCAGAATATTGTCATGGCATACAGTTTTCCATTGTTGCTCAGGCATACAGACTATTCTGTCTGTCTAAACTATTTTATAGCTATTTAAGTCAGAAGACTTGCTTTTCTAATAAGGAATTCCATATACTAAAGACGTTAAGCAAAATGGTATTTTTGTTAGCATTAAACTTATCTGCAAACAATTTTATTGAATGACATGAATGTTGTGATGAAATCAGAGATTTATTGAGTTGCATTATTGTATTATTTATTTTTTCGAATAATGCAGCTTTATTCTTTTCAGAAAATGATTTGCTAAAGGAATGAAAGTCTGAAATGTGATCTGATAAATGTAAATGCAGTAACTTTTTCAATAATAATGAATTAACTGAAATCAGAAGATGCAAACACACATACAGTACATTTATAGCAAAATTGCAAGGAACCAACCTCTGCTCCCTCTGCTTCAGTTTTTCCATCTGAATCTTGGCTGTGATTTCTTCAATTTGTTTCTTGCAATCCAGGTTCAATTTCTGCTCCCTGATAAATGAGAAGAAGCCAAGATATAGAATGGGCTAATTCTTATTTTTGTTATGATGATCACTTTGCCCTTGGACCATATCTTCCAATATAAATCATTTTACTGAAAACATATGCATTAGGATATAGTAGAATGGAATGGAACAGAATAGAACAGGGGCTGCCTCTGGCCCACAGGGTCCTTAGATGTGGCCCGCAAGGCCACTCTGAAAACAGAAAAGGACTGGCCTATGATGCCTCTGCCAGCAAAAACAGAGCTCTGGAGGGCCATGTGCAGCCCTCCCAAGCTGCGTTTTTACTGGCAGAGGGTTGCAGGAGGCTGTCGCAGTCAAAAACAGAGCTCGGGAGCCTGTTTTTGCTGGCAGAGCAGTCAGGCCACCACAGGCGCCCCTGACACAAGAGATGTCAAGCTGGCCATGCCCACTCTGGCCCCCCTGAGGTCAAACCCAACCTTGATGAGGCCCTTAATGAAACTGAGTTTGACACCCCTGGAATAGAATAATGGAACAGAACAGAAGAGAACAGAAGAGAATAGAATATTCTTTATTGGCCGTGTGATTGGACACACGAGAGATTTGTCTTGGTGCATAAGCTCTCAGTATACATACAAGCAACAAGTGATAATCATGATAAAATACAATCATAATAAATAATAATATATACTGACAGCATACACACACACACACTCACACACACACACATATTTTCTTGGAGTAATTTGTTGTGTTTCTTTCTGTAGTCTAGAACATTGTTCAGTACTTTTCAATAAGTAAGTCCACAAAGCAGGTGGATTAGAAGCCTTAGCTCACCTCTGCATTTCATCTTGTGTCTCCTTTGAATGCATCTGCATGACTTTTTTGATCTCTGCAAGAAAGGTAAATATTAACTATCATAAATTCAGGTTATTCTCTTTCTGCAAAATATTTCTGCCATGGTTTTATATGCTGTATGTTCTCTAAAACCGAAGTAATACCACTACTTTCAAGGAACAGAATGTGTGCAATCACACAATGCCACAACTTTCGTTAGATAAAGCAACAAGGGGCTGCAGGAAAGAGGATGTTTTATTTCTCCTCTGTATTAAGCACAGGTAATCAGAAAGTTACTTAAAGAAAAAAGACTCATCAGGAAAGGATGTTGGGCTTGTGATGATCAGCTTGTTGAAAATTTTGGTCCAGTATGTACTTTCCTTGAAAAAAGCTCCATCTTATGAAACTTAGAGAGGTAAATAAAAAAATAAAATGGGCAATATTGTCAAGTACAGAAATTGTTTAAATTACCAGGTGGAGAAAGTACATAAGAGATAATTTTCTCACTGCACCACACACGACTTTTAAGTGTTGTTCTTTAGCTATACTTACAGAGGTACCTTGGTACTCATTTGGTTTGAAATTCATGAAATTTGGTATTCAATGTATTTTGATGTGAATAAGTGATAGAACTTTGAGGGGAGTTAGATGTGGTATTTTAGGACTTATGCTAGAGTTTTCATCTGCTTCTCATCTCAAAATTTGGGGAATTTCCCAAATTTCCCAAAGTAATCATATTAATAGTGAATTGTCCTTGCAACAATCAATTTTAAGGAATATAGTGTGGGCAAACTGCTAAAACTGATAATGTTAAAAAAAATCAAGCCAATATCTCAGAATTTTCCATTACCCTTTTTCTCATTCCATATTTCTTCAAGGCTTGACTTCTCTGCATTCACTACAAGAGAAGGAGTGATTTCATTTAGGCATTATTTTTATCATATTGCAGAAAATACAAATGGAAGAAACCTAAGATGATGGTGCTTATTTTTCTAAAACTGCATTATAAAAATCTACCCTCTTTTCCCAGGTATTATATATTTACTACAGCTAAAGTGCCCTCTGTCATGAAAAGAAAAACAATTCAAAATAATCTTATTGCATTGATCTTTCATGATTTTATATGCTGGTTGTCCAGTTTATGTCTCTCCCTCCTTTTCTCAGTCATTCCCATATACTGGTACATTTCATGTAATACATTGGCTGTTGTTAAAATAGTTAAATTAACAGGCCTCTACCTGCAGAGCAACAGCACTGTAAATCATACATAGCAACATAGCATAATGTGGCTGCTTGCTTACTGATGTCCACCCATTATTGTTTAATATATATGAACCCATCCATTATGATTTAGGTTATGTAGTAACCAGCCATTATGACGTATTCAGCTTAGTATAGTTTACTATACTAAACTTGCCTTAATATTACTAGGTGACCATAGTAATAATACAGTTTTAAAAATGTCTATTTAAAACTAAGCATTCTTCTGTGGGAAGTTATCATCCAGCCCTCTTCCAGAAAAATGAAATATCCTAGGAAATATTGAAAAGGCAGAATATTTCTCTGGATGTGAAAAGAAACANTATATATATATATATACATACATACATACATATATATACATATATATACATATATATATACATGATATACATGATATACATATACATACATACATACATACATATTCCTTGTATGGATTGAGGGGAAATGAACTTTAGTGTTCATTAAATCAAGATAGGCCTAAAAACACTCCAACACTACCATTTCCTCAGAAACAGTTTGAAGTTCTGGACTGCTCTTCTCTCCAGCTTCACAGTAGATCAATGAAATAAATTGTTTTTACATCAAGTATTTTATATTACACTTTTGTCTTGGGCAAATCCAAGTGGTTCCTATGAGAGGAAGCTGCAAAGCCATCAGAGTGTCTTTCCTTTGAAAGATCCACTAAAAATGGCAAACTCAAGAAACCAGGCGGTAAAGGATAGCCAAAGTTCCCGCCAACTGAGAAAGACTGTCCGCTATCTCCTCAGAGCTGCAGCATTTCAATGTTTTATTGAGGCTTTGACTGTATTTACTAATTGATTTGTTTTAGAAGCTTTATATATTGCTCACCTCCCAGCCACTCTAGTCAGTTCACAAGTAAAAAGTAAAACAAGAAAAAAAATCTGAATGAAAACAAAAAAAGTGCACACAACCATCCACACAACCTAAATGTGCTTCAATCAGCCTGGCCAAAAGCTTTGGCAAAGAAGCATATCTTCAGTGTTTTTCAAAACACCTGCAGGATAGAGACCATCCAGATCTAAAGGAAACCTCATTCCAGAGGGCAGGCCCTACTTGAGGAATGATACATGAGTGAATAGGAACTAATTATTGAAACTTTAAGAAACTAATGTTTCATTTTGTGCCCATGAACTCATATCTAATGCCACCTAAGGTCCCAAATTTTTCGATATTGGTCCCTGAATGCAGGAGAGCCGCTTCCCTTACATCTCTAAGTAGAAAGCAAGGACACTTACTGTAGGTTGCAGCCTAGACATTTTGTGTTAAGAGTTCATTCCATTCTAATTTTGCTTAAAAGTCTTATTGTATTAATCATCTCTCTAATTTTAGAATACCAGATAAGTGGCTGGTCCCATCCTGCTTTATAGACCCTAACTATTAAATAACAGCGTTAAAGAATGCATTAAAAATATTTACATTTCTTCCTGTGCAGCAGTATGGTGGACTACAAGCTAATCTTCATTAATGCTGTCTTCCTCCATCCCAAAGACCTCCAGCTCCATTCTTAACCTGAAGTAAATTAAATACTTGAAGTTAAACAATGTAAACATGATCAAAATAGAAGTAAATATAAAGGAAACAAAAAGAGGCAGAAAACTAGTGACCATATTTCAATTTTTAACAAAAGTTTTCATAATTATAAATAAAACTTGCAGGAGTAGGAATTCTAGTAGATGGCAGAGATGGTTATCTTTGTTTTAGAATGTTTCAATAATATATTGTTTCTGTTGACCAAAACTAGATGCAGTATTCCAGGTGTGGTTATACTAAGGTTTTATAAAGCGGTACTAATACGTCACGTTATCTTGATACTATGCTTCTGTTTATACAGCCAAGGATGGTATTAACTTTTTTGGCTAATAACTGCTAATAACAATAACTTTGAGAGGGACCTTGAAATCCTAGTGGACGATAATTGAAATATGAGCCAGTAGTGTGCGTCAGCAGCCAAAAAAGCTAATACAATCCTTGGTTGTATAAACAGAGTCATAGAATCACGTGAAATATTAGTTCTGCTTTACAAAGCCTTAATAAAGCCACACCTGGAATACTACATCCAGTTTTGGTCACCACACTACCAAAAATATATATATATATGAGATTTTGGAAAAAGTGCAAAAAAGAACAACTAGGATGATTAAAGGCCTGGAGACTAAAACATGAAGAATGGTTGCAGGATTTGGATTTGGCTAGTCTAGAGAAAAGGAGGACTAGTGGTTATTTAGTATTCCAGTATTTGGGGGGTTGCCTTGAAGAGGAGGGGGTCAACTTATTTACCAAAGCACTTGTAGGCAGGACAATAAACAATGAATGGATGGAAACTGATCAAGGAGAGAAGCATCCTGGAACTAAAAAAAAACTTCCTAACAACTAACAATGATAACAACCAATGGAAGAGCTTGCCTTCAGAAGTTGTAGGTGCTTCATCACCGGAGGTTTTTAAGAAGAGACTGGACAGTCATTTGTCTGAAAGGGTATAGGGCCTCCTGCTTCAGCAGGGGGTTGAACTAGAAGAACTCCAAAATTGATTGAAATTAAATATTGACTTTTGCTTGTATCCTAATAGATTTTAAATGTTTAATGATACATAAAATTCATACTTTGTATCTGCTTCAAATAGATAATGCACCACTGTCCAAGGATAATTACTGTCTTGCCTAGAAAGTCTCATCTTTCAGAAATGAATCTGCAGAAGATTAATTATTTTTTTCTTATTCAAATACATTCCCACTTTTCTGCTCACTTGTGGCACTTCTCTTGCAAATCAAAATTGTACTTTGAGGCTGCTTCAAGATAACCTTTTGCTTTTCTGTTTTCCTCTTGAAATAACTCCCTGGAAATGAAAAAGGTATGAATAAGAGTTCTTATATGTCAAATCTATCAAGCTATTAGTTGCTTTTGTGGTGAGAAATCATTTGGCACATGCATTTTTATTTAAGTCCAAAATTACAAAAAAATATAATGAGGCACACCAGAGTTTTTAATAGTCTTGTGTAATTTTGCTTAAGGCATGTATAATTAATTTTACTTATTTATTCATTTAATTTACATCTCATATTTCTGAACTTCCCATCTCCCTCAAAGAAGAGCAATTAATGAGGAGGAGCCAACGTTGTGATATCACAATTTGCGGTCTCGACACTCCGAGACCGCTGTTGATACTTTTGCCACTGGACGGTCCATTTGGACCTAAACCGTTCCGCAGAGATGATGATCAGGAAGACGAAGCCTTGCTGGTCTCAGGGACATCGCAAAGTCCCTGATTGACCCAAGGGAAGATCTTCAAGCCGGTGGTAAATAGGCAGCCCCAGGCTCATGAAGTTGGGACGGCTCCGGAAGGAAGAAAGTGAAAAGAGAAAGTGAGTCCATCTGGTGAGGTATTTTTTCTTTTTTGGGAAAGACTGCCCAAAGAAACTTTTTTTTAAAAGTCAAATTAGATACTTAAGCAAAAGAATTAAGCAGTGAAATTAACTTATATTGGATTGCCTTGGAAAGCTTTTTTTTCTTTGTAACTATACTTTGTGGATTGAAGTGCTCGCAACGTTTCTCCTCTTAAAGTGAACGGATTGATTTTTTTTTCNGTGGCCCTGTCCAACAATAAACCATCTTTCTAAGCAGCCTCCATGTCTCCAGTGTCTTTTTCCCCACTTGGAGCTGAACCCAGAAGGACATTTCTCAACACTTCAAAGCAGATTGCATTCTGAAGTTCATATATTTAAAAAAACCTGGCTGTGGAGAGAGATATTAGTGGCATTTGATTAATTCACTTCAATCTGATCTATGACAGAACAGATACCTACGCTTTTCCAGTTCCAGCTGAAGTGTCTTACTGTGTTTATTTGCCTCAGAAATCTCTTCATTTAATACCTTCTTGGCTGAAAAAAAATGCATGTAACAAATAAACTGAGACAGTACATAGTAAGTGGGAAGCTCATGACAAGGACCTTTTGCATCTGAGTAATATTATAGTATAATGGTCAAAACATTCTGTAAGCCGCCTTGTGTCACTATGTGCGAATATATATTCCCTAAATAAAATAAAATACACTTAAACCTTTGTATTATTACTCAGCTAAAATAAGTGCAACAATAACAATTTTTACTAAGATTGTGCTACTAGAATTTCCAGACAGAGGAGTCCTAATAATAACAATTAAAGATATTGTAGAGCTATTTTGCTTTTTATTTTTAACAGACCACTGTTTGCAGATAGAAAAAGACTGAAACAGCATTGAGAAAATATTAGAGCATTAAATAAAAAGAGAAGCCCTCCAGTGTTATAAAATAGGTGGAGGCAAGTCAATGCCAGGAGATGTTTCTTTCAACAGTCCCAGGCCTCCCCCTGGAGGTGAGATTAGTTGCATTGATAATAACTTTTCAGGAATTACTGTAGTTAAAACTGATTTATTCCAGAAGGTTTGGGGGTGAATTGTGATATTGTGTTATATAATTTTGATTTTATTTTAACTTTATATTTAGCATAGAAATGTTTTGTTTTAGAACTGTTATGAACTACCAAGAGTCTCAAAATATCACAACATATTTAAATAAAATGAATAATCTTGTCAAATGAGGTAAAATATTTATTCTGCTCAATTTATGTTCATCCAACTAAGTTTTTCAAACAAAGTATATTAATCTAATTCATAACTTCTTCCAGCCAACCACAGAAACCCACCCTTTCTTTTGTGTCCCATTTGAATCTCTTACCTTGTTGCAATTTATTAATTCTTTTTATTAGATCTTCTATTTTTGGCTCTAGATTTCCCACTATCAAGGAAAGGAAAAAGTAGGAAAAAGTTTCATCTGGATTCTTCATTATATTAGTGTCTAAAACCTTATATAAATTTACCATAACCACTTTCCTGTGTATTATTGCATATCTTTCCTTCCATTGCAAATGCAACTGGAAGCTTCAGAGGACAAATAGGATCATTTAAAATAATTAACTGCCAAATTAGATTGATAGTTTATACTGTATTATCCTGGTTGAAACTTTTTTTAATGAAAACTTTTCCCCTAAAATCAGCATCTCTTCTTCCATTATATTTTTCTTTCCATTATATTTTTCTTCCAGCACCCAGTAAGAACTTCTGGCCTTCCCTCATCATGTTTCTGTTTAAATTCTGTTTAAATCAAATACATACCACACCCCTCTCAAATGAATAAATCCAGGAGCCTCAGAATCTGGCCACTGTTTGACCCCAAAGCAAAATTACAATCAGTACTGTATGCATAATGATTACATTTTGTAGATCCCCCTAGATTATGAAATGTTGTATTTCGTTGTCCGTCCACCCCCCGCCCCCCAGATGCCATGAAATCAACTATTTTCACTATACAGGCTTAATGTTGCAACATGCTGTGTACATTGATAGAAGTGGTAGGCTACTTTTACACATTTGAAGCTACTTTACTTTATTTATTTATAGTCAACAATTAGCAAACTCATTTCCTGCAAATATATCTCAGAAATTTCAGCCTTTACATTCTGTTTACTTTTATCTTCTAGTCAGAACAACTCTTTCCCTAATAAGAAGGGAAAGAATTCCAAATGTCTCAATTCCCAGCTATTTTCTATATGGTAAGCAATGTGTTTTCCTCCAGTTTTTAATAACTGATCAGCCATAGCTCAAATGTGAAACGTCATAGATTTTCTAGAGGATTACCCATTCTAACCATTTATAGGTACACATTTCTGTCATGTGCACACTCCACAATTTTACTAAGATGTCTAGTGCCTGATGCCCACTCTTACTGTTGGCCCTAGTTTCAAAATACCTTTTTGCATTTGTTTCACAAGAGACAGTATCTCTTCCATTTTTGATGCAAAGTTCCAAGAATCTGGACAAAGAACAAGAACAAACAGAATTGTTTAAAGATTGTCATAATCCACGTAAGCTATATTTCATCATTCACCCAAGTATATACAATATTATGTATTAACCAATGGTGGGATTCAAATTTTTTTACTACCGGTTCTGTGGGCATAGCTTTGTGGGCATGGCAGGGAAAGGATACTGCAAAATCTCCATTCCCTCTCCACTCTCAAAATTTCCATTAGTGGTTCTCCAGAACCTGTCAGAACTGGCTGAATACCATCTCTGGTATTAACCCAGATGGAGTATATCAAAATCTGAACAGCATGTAGCATATTACAACATGTAACAGCATTTTGCCCGTATGGAAGATTTTTTTCTCTTAACTGAAAGAATCATCCTGTGAAATGGAAATTGCAATGTTCTTCCTGCACACGTTACAAAATCAAAATTATAATACTTTCCACACAGAAAAGATAATACCGGTAGCAATTAACTGATGTAATTTAGAACGGAACAGAAAAGAACAGTTTTTTATTGGCAAAGTGTGATTGGACACCCGAAGAATTTATTTCTTCTGGCAAATGAATACATTTTCAGATTTCTTCATGTGGCTGTCCTTTGCAGTTGATGTAGAGAGTAAGGAGGATGAGCTTGGTGGAAATATGCAGTACAGTACTTAGTATAGATATAATCTTTATTGTCATTGTACTTAAATACAACAAAATTGGTTACTTAGACAAAAGAGGTTGAAATATATTTTAAAACCTGGGAAAATTTCAAAAGATAATATATTGTAGAGCCATGGTGGTGCAGTGGTTAGAATGCAGTATTGCAGTTTAATTCTGCCAACTGCCAGCAGTTTGATTCTCACCGGCTCAAGGTTGACTCAGCCTTCCATCCTTCCAAGGTCAGTAAAATGAGGAGCCAGATTGTTGGGGGCAATATGCTAATGTTGTAAACTGCTTAGAGAGGGCTGCAAAGCACTGTGAAGCAGAATATAAGTGCTATTGTTACTGCTATTTTGAAGTATTTCAGAAAGATGCTTTCCTGATTCACTGGAAGTGGGAGGAAGTATAATGCAATGCAAGATTTTGTTATTATAGATATGGATACAGTTGAGTAGAAAATTATTGTACCTTCTCTCCAACGTATCCATCAGAGTTGAGGGCTTCCTGAGATGTATTGATAGAATACTATAATAATATTTACATTAATATTATTAATAGTATAAAATATGTCATGAATATCTTGTCATTTCTATTAAATATTAATAATAATATTGCATAAGTATTTAAAGAGTAGAAACGGATTTGTAGAATAGGCTTTCATTATAATAGAAGACCTTTACAGTTCAGGATTGAGACTTAAAAAACTTTCCTCTTCTGTATCCAGTAGGACCAAACTGACGGTTCTTCAGCTTTAAGACTTCATTCGGGCTACACATGATTAAAAACTGGACTGAAAATCCAATCCTTGGCTACACCATTTTTTTCTCCACTTGGAAACAAATTGACTAATAAGCTTTCCTGCACATAATTTCTCTGTATATAGGGTAAAAGACTTGGAGCAGGGAATATCAGATTCAAGCCTACCCAGCCACAGAAGCTTACTGGGTAAGCCTAATCTGTTTCTGTTTCTGTGTGTGCAGATATAGAGGAAGAGGGACCACCATGTATGCCACCTTGAATCCCCGTGACCCGTCAAAACCGCGGTCCACAAAAGCGCGGTCGACGAAAGCGCGTATGTGACGTCATCACAGCGCGACGAAAAAGATCGAAAAATTGAAATAAAAATAAAATTACAGCAACCCGATTCACATAAAGGTAAGGGTTAGGTTTAGGTTTAGGGTTAGGGTTAGGTTAAGGGTTAGGGTTAGGTTTAGAGCGTTAGCGTTACGTTTAGCGTTAGGTTAAGGGTTAGCGTTAGGTTTTTCGTTAGGTTAAGGGTTAGGTTTAGGGTTAGGTTAAGGGTTAGGTTTAGGGTTAGGTTTAGGGTTAGGTTTGGGGGGTTAGGGTAAGGTTTTCGCTTTATTTTTACATTTTTCGATCTTTTTCGTCGCGCTGTGATGACGTCACATATGCGCTTTCGTCGACCGCGCTTTTGTCTACCGCGGTTTTGTGGTGGAACCTGAATCCCTAAGGATATAAATCTAACCAATCAAAAATACATCATCCTGTCATAGCATAATGTTGGATCACACTTATTTTCTTGGTTTTAGTACATCATATTTTGGAAAGCTCAACTTAAATCCAGCAGGAAATTCTAAATCTCAAAAGCTAAACACTTGCAACTGGCAAGAGAAAAACAAACCAATCTAGCAGCTACTTCTTCCATTGCCCTATTTAACCATCATTTCCCTTCCTTTTGGATTGAGCAGCTGAGGAAAAAGAAAAACCACAGCTCATCTGCCAAATGTTTCTCACTAACGGTAAACCACAACTTTGAAAAAAAGGAGGGGAAGCTGGCTGAGAAGAGGGAGAAATGTGATAAAATGGATGAGATTGGGTGGAAATGCCACTGTGCAGAATTTTACCACATCTTGTGAGGCGCCCCTCCTCCTTGCTGCTCTTAAAAGGAACTAAGCAACCTTTTCAAGGTTTTAATACAAAATGACACTTGTGGAGAATATTATTTTCTCTTTATTAAAAGATCCCCAGCAGAGCAAGTAAGCAGGGTTGGCCAATGGCTGCCCAGGAACACTGCCAGATACCCCCTTTGTTCATTACCTTTTATCTCTTTAGCCTGTAGTAGTTACTAGTTGGCATGTCTTTACTTGGAAAGGTGATCTATTTCCTAGCTGATGTACTTGCTTATTTCTCTTATTGTTATGGAGAATTTGTATGCTTTATAATTAGCATTTTAATAAAGGAGATATTTGCATTTTAACATGGCATCCCTGTCACTTTTTGAAGTTTAGAAAATGGTATTTTTCCTTTGAACCCAAGTTCATTTATTTATGGATTTATTTATTTATTTGTACTGTCCATTAATCAAATTTATATCGTCACCCATCTCACCAAAGGCAACTCTGGGTAGCACACAACAAACCTCAGGTAAAACTATATATAAAAACCCAGAGATGTTAAAAATATATAAATCACATTAAATATTACAAAAACAGAGATACAAATAATGGGCTCATTGGGAATAAAAATACCCATTCCAACAATGGAGCCACCTAAGCATGTCTCGGGTTACCTGGGAGTCCCAGGCCTAATAACCAGTTCTTGATATTCCAGAATATTAAAAAGGATGGAGTGTGGCAGCCGGAGAGACTCGGGATGGGGGTTTAATGATTGTTACCAAGAATCTCTTATAGTTTTTAAAGGCCCTGTACCACATGCCCCAAATGGTGAGACCCTGTTAATAAAGCTGGGCTCTAGGGATCGGTTGGGATCCTTTAAAAAAAGACCTTAATACTTTATGCATGTTAATAATAAAATAATAAGGAAATATGTATTGTTTTAAATAATAAAACAAAAAGTTTTATTAAATAAATAATAAAACACTAGTAAGTTTTAATCATATGATATATACGGCACTGAAATTTCCCTTGAAATAGTGCCATGCATCATAATTTACAAAGTTACAATAAAGGAGGGGAAATGAGGAAAAAAGAAATTTACAGTACATGAGTCTTCCGCCTTCTTCAAATTCTGTTAAGGGGTTTCTACTCTTTCTGGGATTTATATGTATGAAGAGGAAAAAATATAGGAAACAATACACTTAAAAGAAAAAATAATTGGCTTCCAACCTTTGTTACCACAGTTACAGTCAATATTATTATCCCTCTCAAACATAACACTCCTTCTGTTCTACCCACGCGCATTACTTCTGCTAAATACTCTGAAAATAACTGATATCATGATTTACAATATTACGATAAAAAAGAAAAAGGGGGGGATCTGTGTGATCCTCCCACCTTGTTCAAATGGGGTTTTCTATTCCTTCTGTTCTAAAAATGGGGTTAGTTCTGCTAGATAACCTCACACTGCTGCCTCCCCTCTGATGGCTCTGGATTCCTCCCTCCGACGGTAGCCATCTCCTTCTTACCTGGGTGGCTGCCCTCCATTCTCTTCCCCCGGGGATGTAGGAGGGTCCTTCCTCCTTCCCACCTCTTCTCAACCGACACTACGAGGCAACTGCTCTGCTGCTTAGAGACCAATTCAGCTGCAGGCTGAGGAGAGAAAACTAGGCCTCTGTTTATCCTGCCCTTGCCTGCAAAACCAGCCTGCGCGTTACCACTGTGTGGATCTTAGAAATGTGGAGGAGGGTGGGGGTTACCCCATATTTTTCAATTAAAATTTCCAATACAACAAAAGCGTTGAAAGTGAAAGAAAAAATATAAAAGGAAAAAGGTAGAAAGAAAAGAGAGAAGAAAGCATCGAATTATGGCTTCCGGCCTTCTTTTCCCTTGAGTCTTAATTTTTTTTCCTTCGTCTTCAACCCTTTTAAACCTCTAAATCAGTGTTTCTCAACCTTGGCAACTTGAAGATGTCTGGACTTCAACTCCCAGAATTCCCCAGCCAGCAAATGCTGGCTGGGGAATTCTGGGAGTTGAAGTCCAGACATCTTCAAGTTGCCAAGGTTGAGAAACACTGCTCTAAATCATCAATTCAATCTTTTCTTCTTCCAACGAAAAGTTTATATAAAGCTTCCCATTCTTTCTTTCTTTTAAGGGTTCGTCCTTTTTTCTGCTGACCAGTTGTGGGGGGTTTTCTGTAGCCAGCACAGGGAAAAAAACAATTCGAACAGGAAAATGGTAGTAGAATCCATGTCTTGCTGTTACTAATACTGTGAGGAAGTGAATTGGGGCACATGATATAACCAACAGAAGCTGGCTGCTACTCCAATCTTTTGTTAAGAGCACACAGGAATGCAAAGTCAGACACCAACCACGCTTAAGTCTCCAATATTTTATTAGGCTCCTTCAAGTGCAGCTGTTGGCATAGCTTTATTATTTTATTTACAAGAGCTCAGTTCTTCCTTCAAGACCTCAGAGATTCTTCCAAAGAGAAATACCCTGGTGGGGTTAAGGATAATTTGCTTACAACACTCCATCAACTTTTCAATAATGTACAAAAGCAGCAAAAAAAGGGGGAAATAAAATAATGGTCAGGTGTAACAGTCCTATTTCATAACTAATACAAGATCCTAGGGCAGGTTATACAACTGCAGAAGACCAAAGAATTGCTGTGTCTTAACAAAATACTGGTAAAGTGTGGAGAAGGGAAAAAAATTGGAAGAAAAGCAAATAAAACACTGAAAACATGATATGATAGAAAATTACGTTTTTCAAGTTCAAAAAATAAAAGCCAAACATGTTTCTGGAAAATAAAGAGCTGTTTCAATTAATAACAAAGTAGGGATTACTCTTCATTTAGCACCAAAAAAGATAGATGGCATTTTTTAAATGATCAAGTCAATCCCTCCCAGCTCAGAAGAAATTGGTTTGTAGGACCTGATTTATCCATAGTAAACAAAACCTATTTGAATTTCTGCTTCTTAAATTATTCTAGGCTTTATCAAGTCTTCCAGAATACAAAATTGTACAATACATGATGCACTATTTTAACTGAAGCGAATTTATTTTAATTTAGCCACTCATCTTACTTTCTTGACTCTAGGAAGTTTACAAGTTTCTTGGATGGAAACGCTTCTGGCACATCACAAGGTTTACAGATTTATTGGTCAACACCAGCTCCATGAAAAACATTTGGTAAATAACATGGAGTGAGAGAAGAGACAATGAAGCATACAGGTAATCCTTGACCTACAACCACAACTGGGACCAGAATTTCTGTCATAAGCCACTGTGGTTATAAAGTGAATCATCACATGACTAGATCCAATTTTACAATCATTTTTTTACCATGGTTGTTAAGCTGTAGAGCTCCTGGTGCTCTCTGAGCTTGGTTGTTTTCTTGCAAACATTGCCCCCGTAGACAAGCTACTATATAAACAAAAAGCAAATCCAGCTCCCTTCTACCACTGAAGATGTTACCTAGTCAGGTAATGAAATGTCTGCAAAAAAAAACCAACCAAGCTCAGAGAGCGCCAAGGTCTCCACAGTTCACTCCCGAGATACATATATATTCAATTGGTCATTAAGCAAATCACACAGTCATTAAATGAAGCACCTGGTTGTTAAGCAAATCCGGCTTCCTCAATTAACTCATCTTGTTGGAATCCGGCTGTGAAAGTTCCAAATTGCAGTCCATGTGACCACAAGATGTTGCAACCATTGTAAAGGCAAGTCAGTTGCCAGGTGCCTGAATTGCAATCACACAATGGTTGTAACTTCAAGGATAGGTCCTAAGTCACTTCTTCTGAAGCAATCATAACTTCGAACTATCATTAAATGAATGATCATAAATTTAAGAATATCTCTGTAAGATTTTCCTTGACCTTGCAGATGGCCACTGAAAACATCTATACTGTCTGAAATCCTATGTAAACAGATGTGATCATGGCCTACCTTTACCATTCCAAAAACCTGAATAATTTATATATATGTAAAAAAATCATAGCTTATTCCAAAAGTAAAAAAATCACTACCAGTCCCTAAATATTCAAATTCAGTAATACCTCGGGCTAAATGAAGAGAATGAGCCAAATATATTGAGTCAGGATGCACAGATGGTCCTCACATCCATTTTTGCAGCCAGCCCCCAACCACTCTCCACTCCATAGCGCTATCACAATTTAATAACATGCAATTTCAGGAGAGGGGACACATAAAACAACACATTATTTTGCATAAAAGAAATACCAAGCCACTTTTAAAAACAAAACAAAACATATGGTTCAATCCCCTCTCAGAAGATTAACCATATCAGTACTTATGGCGTGGCCCTCAGTGGCTGAAAAAGATAAAAGTATAGCTCTCGGTAGTAAAACTTTGTTCATGTTCGTTTTAAGTTATAGACTCAAGTCTTTCATACCACAAAGCTTGCTAAGCATTACTTTTTGATTTTGTCTAGATTTAAATACAATTGCCTTGTCTGCTTCCAGTTTCCAATGTATAGTAATGAAAAAGTACACATAATTTACCTATATATATATAATACAACATTATTTCACTAGTAATGTGAAACGTAATTTATTCTGCAGGTGCAAGATAATTGCTAATAGGCTTTCTGGCAGAGGGAAAAGAAACATAAGGACTATCTTTGTGTAGATTGAACTAGAAAAAATATATTTTGAAAATGTTTTGAAAACATGCAGTTTAAGGATACAACATTTTACAACAGAAAAGAGCCAATTCTTTTGGAAGAGATCCAAAATAATAATAAGTTACATTCACACTCATTGGAGAAAGGGAGACATGCAGAAACAGCCCAAACTTGTGTAAATTGCAATGGGCCAATAATAGCATTCCACCGCTGCAATGCAATATATATCTATTCCAGGTTTGGTGTAGTTCTAAATTGTAACATTCAGCAATGTTAAGTTGTGCTCTCCCTATTTCAGACAAGGCAACAGATCCAGCAAAAATAATGAATAAATGTTCAAAATGGAGTTCAAAACCTACTTCATCTCCAATATAACGGGAGGCAAAAAATGACTAATTTTATACCCAGTGTAGCAGCTTTTGGATGTTGTCAGCTTAAGGAAGAAAATAGGCTTTAACACTACAGCTAAAAATGAGTAAAGCTTGCCTCCACATGAATTGAGGATGAGATGAAGGCGATACTCCTGGGATCCCACAAAAATGGCATGTTTATTTCATGCTTAGGTGCTACAGGGTAAGATCCATTAGGTGACCAGTGTGAGTGGGACCAGAGTGGAATTTCTTGGTGAATTCTGGGGGATACAGCATGCTTCCTCTCTTCCAATCCTTGGTCATCTTCATCTGTCACTATTTTGCCATCAATTCTAAAAAGCTGGGTACAGCTCAATACTGTAAATATTTCCTCTAAAGTAAGACTGAAGAAGCAGAAGCATGAAGTGGTATTAATAAAAACCAGGGTGGAATAATATATAAAGCACTAAAATTGAGCAAGTCTAAAATGACAAGATCAATTTCATCTTCCCAGCTTCCACAAAGGAATCTGGAAGTCAGCATTTATTTTACATAAAGGAAACATGAGAAGGGGACACAGCTTCCTTTGTGAGTCCAATCTGTGTGTTTTTTTTAAAGTTTATTCAAAGTGTCATGTCTGAATAGGGTAGAGGAAGAGGACACAAAAGAAGGTGGACAGGATCTCATAGTCAGATCTATCTCTCACAGTGCCATACAGTATGTTCTTTTAGATGATGATATGTATAATTTGTGGGTGCAATGGCTCAGTGGTTAAGTTAATGAGCTTTGTCACTTGGAAAAGATGACAGCCTAGGTTCGAGACCCAAGTGCCATGCAATGAGCTCCCATTACTTGCCCCAACTCCTGCAATCCTAGCAGTTCAAAAGCATGCAAATGCGAGTAGATAAATAGGCACCACTTTGGTAGGAAGGTAATAGCACACCTCTGCATATAGTCATTCTGGCCACATGATCACGGAAGTGACTTTGGACAATGTTGGCTCCCTTAGTTAAGAAACAGAGATGAGCATCGCCCCCTAGTGTTGGACATGACTGGACAAGGGACACTTTTACCTTTATATGTATAATTTAGTCAGCATCATTTGTCAATGACCCCAAATACACTCAGTAAAGGAAGAATCAGCAACAGAAAGCAACAATATTCATTTAGTGTAGGTTTTTTTTTTGACAACTCAAGACCAACAGATAGCACTTTAACTTACTAGTGGAGAAAAGTTAAACAGCATTATACCTCAGGCTTGTCTCATACAATTTTGACCAATTTTCTTTTGTTACTATTGATCCTGAAAACTAATATTCTCAAATTAGTGTTGATAGAGCACCTGGACATCTTCTCCAAGAATTATTTATCTAAAAAGAAGGTTTATAAATAAAATAATAATTTAAAAATAAATAAATTAACATATCAGTGAAATATATGTTGTAAGATTACACATAACTCACGAATGCCAACTAATCTGCATAGGACAGAATAGTTTTTTTTAGCCCCAAAGGCTCAAAATCAACTGCAGGAACCAAGGAACAAAATCTGGAACAACTGCAGGAAAGACACAAAATAGAGGGACAAAGAAAAAAAAGTTTAAAAAAAAGAGTCACAAAGGGGGAAAAAAATCACGTAGAAAGCCGCCTGACAATTGCATTATCTTTTTTGACAAGGGTTTCAGATTTTTTTTCTTCCCCAATTGTTAAAGAGAAAAATATTATTTAGAAACAACAGTTTACCTGTCTTTAAACTTTAGAGGAGAGTAAAGAGATGTAACTTTTAAATTTCTACTTGTAGGATCTCTTCGATATTTTGTATGCCATTGGTTATCAGTTGAGTGCAGTCTGCAGGTAAATGTTAAAACATTGGAAGAAATCTCTTCCAGATTAAAAAAAGCTGTTTCTTTCAAGAAATGAATTACCCATCAAATGTCATTAAAAACAGGTAGCCTCATTAAAAGTGTTGTTAATCAACTTTTTGCACATCTTCAATGCTAGTTAATTAAATAAATTGATTAAAATCATTTGCATAGATTAAATGTGCTCCCAATTAAATTGAGTTCCTTTTTTTAACTACATATAGAAGTACTTGTACAAAAGTACAAGGACTTTACCCTACAAGTACATACAGAACACAGCAACTTTCAAAACTCTTCCCCTTCTAAGTAAGAATGCCACTTTTAAGAGTTTGCCTTGGTAAAAAAAAAATACATGTTTAAAATGTTCTTTTTTTTTTACAGTAATTGCTTTTTTCCTTATATCCAGATTTGATATAGGTATAAATAAATTAACTGCATACAATTAAAGTAGACTTATACTTTAACAGTGTGAAGAATCTGCCTTGTTACTTGCAATGTTGCCACAAAGGATGCCTGAAGGAAAGAATGCAGCTAATCCTTACAAGTTAAAGATATCTTTTTGCAGAAGGTGCTGGCAGATGGAAAAAAGGAACACACACATGCCAAGATGGAGCTGATTTTAAAACAGATTTTGTTGGCATGTCATCAGATGTCTCCAGTTCTCACTGTATCAGCTCAGCTAGAAATATAAACTTTCAGTATCAGCCAGCCAGGGCATACAAGCGGTGTTGTTCTTTTATGGATAGAAAAAAAATTCCAGCCAGAGGCAATCATGGATCACCGAAAGGAATTGAATAGCAACAGATTCAAAACAGCGTAATTCCTTCACTTCCTTCACCGTTGGCAAAGAGGGTCAAATCCATTTTATACTCACACTACCATCACACTTACACAGTTGCAGGTTAAATGAAGTCTTCCCTCGCTATGCACACACATACTCTCTCTCCCCCTCCTTCATCATAAAATATGATACAGGGATAGGATTATACTCCAACACCTAAGCCTTACTTTTAACAAATATGAATAGACACACAAGACCCAGCAAAAGAGCAACTAATTTATACAGAAAACATTTTGCATGGCAGAGCAACAACTGCTCAGGAAGGGAAAGAATTCAGCTACTTGTCAGTGATGTCACTTTCCGAGAATACTTTCCCATCTGCTAGTATATTCAGACAAAATCTGAATTTGGCAGACATGGAAAGAGTGATATTTGTCGGTACTAAATCTAAAAGTAAATTTATGATGGAATTATGTGTCTTCCTAATTATGAGGTGGGAAAAGAGAACAGTGGCATCTCAACATAGGGGAAAAAATACAAGAATCCTTTTAAGAGCAGTGTATTCCAATTGCACATAGGAATTTTAAAACATGAAGAAACAGAGGAAGAGGAAGGAAGACAGGAAGAAAGTTAAGAAAGGCAAAGGAAGAGTTAAATCCAGTTAGGTTCAAACTGAAGACATTAAAAAGTAAACCAAAATGCCATCATAATCAATTACATTGTCCAAGTTGAGCCATTACATACAGACATCAAATTTCTCAAAGGACTACAAAATACCCTTCACATATTGTATACCACCTTATATCACACATTATATACCTTCTCGTGGTATCAGAACAAAGGGTGAAGCAGCCTCTGTCATTCAAAGGGTAATTATAGTACAACATGAAGATGCAACATGTATGTTCATCAAAAATACTGCGAGATAGTTCCAGGATAAAAGACTCTTTGGAATTGGGCATTTTGACCTACTCCCAAAGTTGCATTAAAATGATTCAAATCAGCTATCTTTATAGAAAATCATTTTACTAAATTGCACACTGTCTGAAAGTGCCAGCCTTCCAATAAATCACCACATTGTGATGGGTTTTGCACACACATTCCAGAAGAACTGTGGACAATCAAACAGTTGTATCAGAAAGCAGCAAGTATTTGCAAACTTTTCTAAGATTAACTTTTTTGTCTCCCAGTGTGGCTCTCTTTTCATTATTACCCCATTTGTACTATTCTTTGAGACAAGCAAAGCACCCAAGTAAATTGCTAAGGAGGAAGAGGAAACTGAATGGAGAAAACAAAGCAATTACCCAGTGATAACAGGAGTGGTAAGAAATGTAAACCCACTAGGCTGCAGAAGCATCAATGTAATTTAAGCACAATCCTTGTGAAATTCTGCAATTTCCAGTTATATGTCACTTCCAAAGATATATCAGCCAAAGCCTCCTTATCTATTTCCAGTCAATCTCAGGATCTCCATCTGACTCAGTATCTCCCTAGAAATAAAGACCATAAGTGGAAAAAATATTTTAAAACATCAGGCCAAAGCTTTCTGGATTTATCTCCAACGATGTGACCCAGCTCAGCCTGGTAAACTCCAATCCTTCTCATATCCACCATCCCATCCTGGTTTAGAAAACAAGACTAGGAGATCCCCCAGATTACAGAACGGTTCCATCATCCAGGGCTATCTGTAGGGTGGCACGCATTCAGAATGCATTTGAGAGCAACTGGAAGTCCTTGGTCTAGTGACCTCCTCCAAAGAAGCCGTTCTCTGTACCATCTGTTCGGGGACCCCTGCTTCCTTTCCCAGGATTAGGTGTAGTGGAATACTTGGGTGGGTAACGGATGAAGAGCCGGTCTTCTTCCTTCTTTATCCAACGCAACAGTTTTGTCAAGACATTGATGGCACCAGCTTTCGTCACCAAAGGATTGAAACAGGTATATAATTCAAATTTACTTGTAACCTATTGAGAAAAGGGGGGGGGGGGGGAAGATTGACCATTCAAGCTGCATAGCTACCACCAGAGAACATGTGTAAAATTTTAACTGGTGAATGCGGGGGAAGCCAACAATTCCAAATAGGAAAGAGAGAACTCCAACTCTTTCCCAATTCCTAGATGGAACCTTAGTTCATTTTAACGTGACCCGTCAAAACCGCGCTCGACTAAGCCGCGCCCAATTAAACCGCGTCGCTGATGTCATCAACAGGGCGACAACAGCCAGCGTGGAGAAAGAAGGGTGCTTTAAATAGCGCTTTGAAAGCAAGCCGATTCAATTTAAGGTAAGGGTTAGCTTTAGGGTTAGCTTTAGGGTTAGCTTTAGGGTTAGGTTAAGGGTTAGGGTTAGGGTTAGGGTTAGGTTAAGGGTTAGGATTAGGATTAGGGTTAGGTTAAGGGTTAGGTTTAGGGTTAGGTTTAGGGTTAGGTTAGGGATTAGGTTTAGGATTAGGTTTAGGGGGGTTAGGTTTAGGTTTAGGGGTTAATTTTAGGTTTAGCGTTTACAGCGTGCTTCTGTCTCCGTGCTGTTGTCGCCCTGTTGATGACGTCAGCTACGCGGTTTCGTCGAGCGCAGTTTAGTGGAACGCGGTTTTGTGGTGGAACCCATTTTAAAACATATCAATGGTAGTTCCTACATTTTTGAGTGACCAAATGGTCTCTGATATTTCCACGAAATACTTTTCGTTTTATAGGACCATTGACTTTCTTAACATATACAGTATGAAAAAGATGGCCAATGTTAAAAATGCTAATTCTTAGTCATATTGCAGAGCTTTCTGAAATCATTCATCTATTGCTGTAATACAAGTTTCACTCGATGTCTAAACATACTGCTACTACTCAGTACCCTGTAAATTAACAAATTGAAATTTATCAATTTAAAGCTTTCATCCTGCTGCATTTATGTACAGGTAAGCTTGGTGTAGTAGCTAAGGCATCACATTAGACTCTGGGATCTAGTCCTTTCTTAGGCATAAAGCCACCTGGGTGACATTGGGTCAGGCAAACCATGAATAGGATTGTTTTGTAATTTTGTAAACATTGCAATTAGCATAACTGTATGTACTATAATTATGCACAATATTTTTATGTTTAAATAAGAAAATACTGAACATGTTAAAATTTCTCCCATTTTTAAAATTGGAAATAGAAATTTTCTTTTGGTCATTACTTCAAAATACCCAAGATATTTACATCTTTTCTGAAGGGTTTTCCCTGAGCCTTTGTAAAGTAGTTTCATATTCTTTCTGAAAGTAATGACTCTCTAACTGGTATTTATTTATTTATTTTTCTTTTTAACCTTTCCTTTACCACCAATGACAAAGATGAAAACCAGTTTAATCTAGGACAGCACACTTTTAAAAAAGCAATGTGAGACTCTTTCCCTTCTGCTTCTTCTCCTTCTGCTGCTAATAATTATTTATTTCAGCTTTAGAAAACCGACTGGTGCTACAGCTATTAAAACCAATAAGGAAAGATTGATAGTAATTATGATTGGTCATGCAGTCAGCTAAATGTTTAGACTAGATTTGGCATTTTTATCCACCTATCAAGTATTATTATGGTTGGTAGCTTATTATTAACTATTCTCCAAGGCACCTGAGGGTAGAACAAGAAGCAATGGGTGGAAACTAATCAAGGAGAGAAGCAACTGAGGAGAAATTTCCTGACAGTTAGAACAATTAATCAATGGAACAGCTTGCCTCCAGAAGTTGTGAAAGCCCCAACACTGGAAGTCTTTAAGATGTTGGATAGCCATTTGCCTGAAACGGTATAGGGTTTCCTGCCTAGGCAGGGGGTTGGACTAGAAGACCTCCAAGGTCCCTTCCAACTCTGCTATTGTATTGTATTGTATTATTTATGGCCGAAAAGCCCTTCCCCAAATAAAGATTCATAATAGGGAATCAGTGAACAGACAAAAGACTAAAGATTCCATCTCTTCAATTACTTTCCTAAAAGTTGTTTGCCCTTTATAACTATCTTACGTAATAAGTCGTATGAAGAAAACATAGATTTAGGAATGCTCTAATGTCCTCATCTAAAATAGATCTAGCCCATCCACCTGAAAGTCTACCACAGCCTTAGCCAATAAAGTTGCCGGCCTCACCCAAGCCAATAAAGTCTCCTTTTCAGCTACATGGTAGATGAGACGTAAAGGACGTGAGGTACTGTGGATGCGATCGTGAAGGTAGTGGTAGAGGTCGAAGAGTCGGTGCCGTTCATTCTCTCTGCAATATGGCCCCTCCAGTTCTGGACTGTAGTAGATGAAAAATAAGATATTGAGGAAACAAGCAGCTTAGTGTTCGCCTACACAATGTCTTACCACAGAACAGACTCCAGAATTTGTATACAATGTGCTGTTGTTCTACAGATGTAGAACTGAGCATTGCCAGATGTGGCAATGCTCAGTCTAATGCTAATCACTTAAGTTTAATGTCATTAACTTTCGGAAACTTTTCAGAATCTTCTGAAGCGACTATAAATCTGATTATGAAACAGACTGGATTTGTGGCTATTCTATAATATACTGTACTATATAGGTCAGAAGAAGCTTCCTGGACCTAGTTTCTTCTATTAAAGAATCTACAGAACAAGTTCTTCTCAACATAAATCACATGGTCCATTCTAATAAGAGAGGGTTACTATTCATGCAGTTTTTCCCAAAGCCAATAAAGAGAAGAAAGAGGATTTCCGAAACAACATCATCCCTTTAAGGCACTAAAATACATCAGAGACTATTTTACTTCTTAACATCTTTTAGATTATTGTTTATAAATTTTGCCAGCTAATTGGGATCTTATGATGGCCTTTGATTCCCTTCTTGCAGCCCAGAAGCCGCAAGATGAAATCTCTTTCTACACATCAATCCTTGTGGACTGGAGGAAAGAAATGTCACATGGCTGCTCTATTTAAAACAAACTGAATAAATGTAGCTTAGGATTTCCCATCGTTTCTGGCTGCTAACTATAAAGAGGGGAAGAGTAAAGGAGTGAGAAGGACAGCCTCAAATTAGCAAACGTTAAAAGAAAAAAGATCTAAGGTAGCTTTACCACTGAGGATACACTTAAAATGCAGTACATGTTTACTGCCAGTAATGACAAAATCCAGTGGCAAATTCAGCTTTGTTTTTGTTATCAGAACATCATCTTCTAGCATCAGAACATCTAGCCTGTTTCATAATCAGATTTATAGTCGCTTCAGAAGACACATCTCCAAAATCAGAAGGAACATTAATTTGTTATGAGGGAAAGTTACAGTAACAACAACAAAATCTCTGAATTCCTGTTCAAGATGCAGGGCATTAAAAAAACTAGCTACATTTCTAGATTTTACTTCAAGCCTGAACTGAATGATATGCCACATTAAGACATCTGTGAATATCTAGGGGAAGAAGAAACAAAAGAGAGATGAAACTGCCCCCTAGGATGATATCATAGATACCTCCTTGCTTCAGGACCTATTTGGTCCTATCATAGTCAATTTCAACCCTCCAAAGCATATTACCTGGTGAATTGTGGAAGCTGTCGGTAATTATCCGGTATATCCAGAGGTTTATACATAAAGTGCCGAAGATCTGGCACTCCCACCAGTCCTACACTATAGGATGGGCTCTTTAAGCCACTTGAGAGGGCCTGCAGATAGTTCTGAGTCTTCATGCCTTCCTCAATGCGTTTCTTGCAATCCGAGACAGAATAGAAAGAGTCCTTGTCCGTAGAGAGAAGGATGAGGCAGACAGTACATTCTGAATCCAAATACGAAATATAAGCATAAAAGTAACAATCAGGGTTGAAACGTGGCAAGCAAATAGGCGTCCAAATTTCCCCCGTTTGAAAGGCAGAAGTTGCTCCAATGAGATTGAGTAACAGGTGCAGGTCGGTCGGTTCTAATCGGCAATCTTCAATGACTGTTTTCTCTTGCACTGTGGTGACCAACTGACTACCAGCCACCAAAATAGAGAACACCAGATTTGGGGTGATGGCTTTTTGGAGCAAAGTGCCCAGGGAATCCCGGAGGGAGGCGGCAAGGGGTAAACAGCGGACAGCTCCAAGGAGGAAACAAGGATCTGATTCAACCAAGTTCAGCAAACGATCAAGGATCTTCTCTGAGCCGGTCAACAAACGCCGGAGGTCATAGTTCTTTTTCCGTTCAAAGATGCGAGTGATGCTGGCCTGAGTAAGCATGCTGATGATCTGGTCGTAGACATACAAAAGCTCCTGGCGTAGTTGCTGCTCTGATTGTAGGGTGTGCGAAACTGAAACCAGTACCAGGGGGCCCTGCTGCACAAAAACCAGTTTGTGATCATCTATGGTAAAAGGAGGGAGGGGGAAAAAAAACCCAGTCATTGCTTCAGTAGATGGAGTGTGGCACTGTTATAATAGAACCAGTTTTTGACATTCAACAAATGCTTTATTAGCTTTCTTAGAATCTCTATTTGTTTTCCTTTCTTTTAAAAAAAAAAAGTTAAATCGAGGATTTACTGTACAGGATTTGAGCTGATGGAGCAAATCTGGGCAAAGAAGAAGAATCTCAGTATAAATGCCAGGAACTGGGGAAATAGACCATGAAATAAAAAGTGAGCAGAATGCATTTTTGGTTATCATAAGGATTTCTGGTTCTGAAACGTGTCTTCTACTGAGTAAAACTAGAAACAAATTAGTAATTAAGAATAAGAATATTTTAATGGTGGTGTGACACAGAAATTCAAGGACTAAATGAAGTAACAGTGAAAACTGCTCCTGCATTGAAGATGCTGGAGGTACAGGTCTTACACATAATATTTTTAATATCTTGCTTTTTAATCTTATCATCTAAGGCCAATAGCTTGAAGTCAGATAGTTTAATGCAGTTTTTAAAAAAAGAGATATATTCCCCTAATTACTCCACTTTTATCAGTATAACCACCAAGTAATATTAAGAACTGATGATGGCTATTCTAGAAATGATCTGAAACTGGTTCAGCTCTTAATGATTTTGCAAGTGTTAGTTGCTTGCTTGATGTTAAGACTATTGTTCCATTTTAAACATTAATATAAAAAATCTGGCACCTTGAACCAAGCTTAACACCTTGGCAGTATTTGTCACTGCCTTTTCCTTCCTTTTTTGCCTTCCTAATTTCATCAACAGTCCTGGAATACTCAGGAAATAGTCACTTAATCCCATCCAAATACTACAGTACCAGTTTTTTTCAAGATTTGCCTAGATTGGCTATGTGTGACATGGAACGTGTATCTTCTAAAATACAAGTCCATGGGTCTTACTGAGCACTATGTCTTCAGGTTATATCAAACAACAAAAATAACTTCTGATCAGAAATAAGAATGATTGTCCGAGTAGTGAAATATAATTTAAACCATATTTAGAATTTTAAATATGAATGTATTTCTATTTAAATAAATATAAATGTATTTATAGTTCAATACGAATTTACCTATCTAAATCTTCACGTGAACCTGTTTTAAATTAAATCCAGCCAGACGTCAATGCCCATAAATCCCAAGCTAAGCTGGCTGAGAATTCTGGCACCAAATCACAGATTAGTTCGGTGCATGAATCTAGTCCCTTTTCCCTTAATTAGAATTTGGTGACGTCAGCAATCCTCTAAGCTTTCTGCTGGGAGCATGAACATGTGGTTGGGAACTTTAAGAGGACGCATGCATTTGCACCAAGCAGGCACTCGGCTGCACATATCAAAATATTAATAGCATGGCAAAAGTTCCAGAATTAAGATGTGCTCACCGTAAACTATCTTTAGAGTTTGGGATTTTTTCTTTCCTGGATAAAGAGTTGGTCATAAAATCACCTTTCTCTTTGCTCAGCATAATACTACATCATAGTCTGTGGTTTCTACTAAGACAAAAGCCAGAATTTTATCTATTAAACTCAGAACTAAAATCAAATACAAGCTGGAACAACAGTTTCTTTTTAAAACAGTCAAAGCATGCTTTTATTCTTCCAGCTATACCCTTACGTATCTGTTCTCCGAGTTCAACTTCCCATCCCACCTAGAACATGTTATAATAATTTTGTTTTAATGCAGGTAGTCCTTGGCGTACGACCACAACTGATCCCAGCATTTCTCTTGCTAAGTGAGATAGCTGTTAAGTGAATTTTGCCCCATTTTACGACCTTTCTTGCCAGAGTTGTTAAATGAATCACTACAGTTGTTAAATGAATCACTGCAGCTGGTAACATGGTAGTTAAGTGAATTGGGCTTCCCCATTGACTTTGCTTGTCAGATGTTTGCAAAGTGATCACATGATCTCAGGCCACTGCAATTGTCATAAATATGAACCAGTTGACAAGCATCTGAATTTTGATCACATGACCATAAGAATGCTACAACAATCGTCAGCGTGAATAAGTCACTTTTTTCAGTGCTGTTGTAACTTCGAACGGTCACTAAATGAAAGGTTGTAACTCGAGGACTACCTGCAATTAGCAATGGAGAAAATACAGTAACATATTGCATGTTCTTCTGGCGTGCTGATTTTTAAAAGGTTCTTTTAAAAAACCTGTAGCAAAAAAGAGTACATTCTGTTTTCCATATTATTCCTTCCATATTCAGGAAGGCTGGATATAGCCAGCAGCTGCCTCACAAAGACCCCGCTTGGGCACACATCTTCAGCAGTGGGAGGAAGGATAGCAATAGCAATAGCACTTAGACTTATATACCACTTCACAGTGCTTTACAGTCCTCTCTAAGAGGTTTACAGAATCAGCATATTGCCCCGAACAATCTGGGTCCTCATTTTACCCACCTCGGAAGGATGAAAGGCTGAGTCAACCTTGAGCCAGTCAGGCTCGAACTGTTGGCAGTTGGCAGAATTATCTTGCAATAGTTCATTCTAATCACTGCACTACCATGGCTCTGGTGAAAGTCAGCTGGGGCAACAGGGATGGAGGAATGCACGAGCAGCAAAGCGCAGGGCAGCCAAAAAAGGTGAAGATGAAAGGGAAGATACTGAGGCAGGAGGGGGGAAGTTGAAGTGGAGATGAGCAACACAAAGCGGAAGTGAGGTTCTCGCTTAACAACGGTGCAGTCATGACCTAATGACTCCAACCAGCACTGCTAGATCTGCCAACACTAAATGATGTAATCACATGATGCTTCACTTTACTTTGCTCAGTGATAGAAATTATAGTCCCAATTAAGGTTGGTAAGAGAGGATTACTTGTATATCAATTCATGCTTTGCCTTTTGTTCCTTGAATTTCTCATCCTTGAAGTTCCTCAGTGTAACAAAACAGAGATTCCTTGGTTCTCCTCTTGACCCCTTCACTCTCCCTTTATAAATTTGTTTTGCAATATGATCCTCATTCATTTAACTTTTCAACATAAACTATCAAATCAGTCATGCTTTTAGACTTACATTCCTTTCTTTGGCATACATTCACACAGACCTATTTAAACTACATATACTAAAAAACATACCTTTTCCTAAGCAAAAATTCACCAACAATCACCATTTTCATTTATTCCTGAGTCTTCAAATGGCCCAGGCAGTTTTTCTATGGTCTTTTATCTTCCTATCTACTTGTTTGTCACTTTAAAATGTTTTCTTCTTACCTCACATTTATTCAAAATGTTGCACCATTTTTCCTAAAACTCATCCGTGGTTGACCTAATTTATACTAGCTGATACACTGTTATCCCTTTTATTCAAAGTTTAACTCTACATTTTCAGTTTACATGAATTCATCAACTCTGCTCTACAAAATTAGATCACTAATGGCCCCCTTCCCCTTTCTAATTTCCTAAACATGCATCGTAAGTGTTTCTTCTTTTCTATATTCCTTCATTTGCTTTTCCTTTTATTTTATTTGTTAATTCGTGCCCTTTAAGATTTACTCCTCTTACACTTCGAATTGTAAATTTAATCAATGGAGGCGTTTACACAACATTTTTAGTAAGATACAAAAAAAATATCAACTAGGTTACCAGCTGTAGCTATAACTGCATTATGTAAAACATTCCTTGCTAACGTTTAAAGACTGGTTAGGTTTGAAGAAATTTTAGCCAATGTACAGTACTAGAAATTTAACCAAAAATCCATTTTATTTCAAGCAACCCCACTATATTTTATGTAAGGTTTCTAATTTATAAATTACAAGTTGGCATACTGTTGCCTACATTTCACTACCTAGAGTACAGTATACATGTAGTATAATGACAACCTCAAGATACTAAGTAGCAAGGGAAATACAACTGTTTTTGGGGTAGTGGTTAGAACAGCCTACTTGGAAAGGCTCTCAGGCACTTAAATAAACAATACTTATGGTATAGACATGGGAACAGATGCATAATCCAGTGCCTAAATTATGTGGGTGACCCATAATAAACTCTAAGCACTGCAATCCCAAGCTTTTCTTATTTTAGTTAAATCATAGGCACATATAACCTCCTAATAAATTACAATATTTGTTAAGCATTACTCCTTTTAAAATTGTTTCCATACCAGAATAAATGGAGCGAATAGAGTTATCCCCACTTTGGATGAAAGACACCAGTGCCATCATGACACCCATGGTGGAACTAAGGGCTTCTTCATTGCCGTAACGTGAATAAATGGGTTTCCCAGCCTCACTTAAAATGAAGACATGTTTCCTGTGTGCCCGCCAACTCTCTGCAGTCACGTCTTCATCTCGGTAGGTAGCCAGGCGTGACTGTATCACCGCTTCCTCTTCTCCTGATGGTCCATCTCCTATCATCATTTGTCGGTGAAACTCACTCGAATCTTCCCAAGTATTGTCAGTTGAGGTTGAATCAGACACATCTTTGTCACTCAGTTCTTCTGGGGTCTCTCTTACTTCCTCCTGCCCGTTCACTTTGTCAATTACCACACTCATGGGTCCATTATTTGGGGCAGCCGGTACATCCTCCTGCTCCTCTGAGACAGAACAGGAGTCATCCCCATCTGGAAAAGCATATTGAGAAATCACAGAAGAAGAAAAAAATCCAGAAGTAATCTTTGTCCCTCATCTACTTTCCATAAACTGGGTCAGTAATTAGAGATTCCAATTTATTGGGCAGATTATATAACTATATCAAGGAATAAATACAGTCACATCAAATTCAGTAAACTCACCACAACACACATATCCCTCCTATTGTCATAAATCAAATGGTCAAACCTCTCTTATTTTTTTCATAATGCCTGAATTAATTCTCAGAAAACAGGATACTTAGGGTGGGATTTGAGTGCTGCAAGTTGTTAGGGCTAATTCCTATATACAGTAAGAGAAAATGCTTGGGGACTGTGCTTTTTTGTTTACAGTATACTTTTCATGTATTTCTCACCTGAAAATGGTCAAAAGTTATACTATCAGTTTTTAGCAATCATGATCAGGATAAGTAGGCTCCAAAGCCTGCCCTAACCATGTTTTGTTTCCACTTATGTTCTATATGAATTCATACATCATACTAAATATGAATTCATATATCATACTAAATCATACTAAATCAAGATTTGTTTCAACCACAATTTGTTGAATTAATACATATCATTAAACTATGCCTGGGTTCAGACAACATACTAAACCAAAAGCCCATAGTGGCTTAGTCAATAAAACATACTTAACATATCATGCAAATATAGTGCTCGCTATTTTTTTTCGGAATTGTTCTTCCAAACCCACTTGTTTTTCCCATTAATCTCAGTGCTTTTGAAAACAAAGATTAAATATCTGCAAATGTGTGGATTCACATACAATTCTTATCTTTGCTCTTCCCTCTATTATGCAGAGGTTTAAACTGTAAATTTTGGGGAGCAAGGATGTATCATTTTCTGCTTACAGCCCTTGGAACAGTACCAAATATATTGGTGGAAGCAAACTCAGTTCAACCTTTGATCCCATCAAACTAATCAGCTTGATCTAAATAGTGACTATAAAGTGAAAAGAATCTAGTGTCAGAGTGAAAAGCTCACTATAGCGAATCAGAAGGTTTGGAGTAGAAGAAACACACCGTATCAAGGTTAGGCCAATGAGGGTATAACCTTATGAAGTGGGTACCCCCACAAAATAGTTGCCCTGGAAAATCTGCCTGTCCACAAAACGCTTGCCACAAATTATTCACTTCCCAGGAATTAATCTACTTCACACAAGTTGCTCTCCATTAAATCAGAGAGACCTAAAAGACAGTTACTGTAAATAAATATTGTGTGAAGCTGGTGTAGCTTTCAGCAAGTGATTTCCTATTTATTTTTATTTATTTATTGCTAAATGAACCTAAGTTGGACAAGCAGAGTCTGGTAGCCATCAAAGGAGATGTATCTGGGCACTAAACTTTCTGTCCCACTCTCTAGTTCCAAACCAGACAATTCAAAGTACTCACTTCTGTCTGTAGGATCCAGCCCACATTTCTCATCAGGGAGCTCCATTTCCCCTTTACAAGATAAGCCAGGGTCTTCGTTCTCCATCTCTACATCTCAAACAACAACTGCAAAGACAAAAGGCAAGCATTAGGAAATTCTCTGAGTAGCAAACAGGATGCAGGTGCCATGGTGCCGCCTCAGTAGGCCCAACCCATTTCTCAAATTAGGAACAGAGCTGCAAGTACCACCTCCCACCTCTGCAAGTACCTTCCACCCTAACAGCAAACAGTGCACCTAATGCAACTCTTTAAGCTGGAATGTACCAACCCAGATTGAGGGAAAGGACACAGCCACTTCCAGGCTGTTTGCAAAACTCAATCTGTGCCTGCTGTTCCAGCTATAATCTCAATCACATGCCCAAGCAGGGGTGCCTCAAAGAGACAGCAGGAAATGCCGGGTGGCCACTAATCACCACAAGTAAGTTTCTGGAGCTGCATTCCTGGGAGGGGCTGCATCTCCTTAGTGATCTTCTTTGTCATGGCTATAACTGATAAAATTCAACTAAACTGTAAATTTCCTTTACAGAAGACAGCCCTTGGCCTGAAAAGCTATTTGCCTGCCTGAATCCCTGTTCAGAGATAAAGTACTCTTGAAAAAGAGCAAAGGCCTTGAAATTGGCTATTAATGATTAGAAAAAGGGCAGGAGGCTGAAGGGGCTAGATCAAGGGTGTCAAACTCACATCATCACAGAGACATCAGGTGACGTATCGGGACTTCTCCCCCCTCCTTTGCTAAACTGGGCGTGGGCGTGGCCAGAACACGGGCGGTGAGTTTGACAGCTGTAATAATATAGCCTGGGCTATATTATTACCATCTTACTTGCATAATTGTCTCAAATAAGAACCCAAACAAACTGGATATCAATAAGCACTGAGATAATAACGAATGTGTAATAAAGTCCAAAACAAATTTTTTAAAAAAGCCAATACAGAAACAAATAGCAAATATATTATTTTTCAGGGGTGGGGGTGAATATAAATTCATCTTGTAATCTTAAAGACGAGAGATGAAACCTTAAATATCCATTATTCTGTAAAAACAATTTTAGAATATCGAGATACTTTTAATTCTACATTTTCATTCAAGCATATAAATTCACACAATTTTTATGTGTATATATGTTCAGATTTTCTTCGGAGAGAAATATGTTCTTCCTCTTCTGGCCCTCTACTGGCAAAACTGTGTTCACACAAGGTATTTATTATTAATTAGTGTCCTCAATTAGCCTGATTAAGAGTTCAAGAGTGCATAAGCCATAAATTAAACCCACTGACACAATATATTGGACTATACTGTAGTTGCCTGGTTTGTAAATCAATGTGTCAAACGAACACTGAACAAAAATTGGCTGCACTCATACTTAAGAAAGAGAACCATTTGAGGACATTTCATTGTTTTTGCTGTTCCATTTTGGTCTAAAGAGAACAGAAATAACCTGCAAGTTATAATAATAACATGTTGTAAAAAAGAAGATATTTTGGTAAGTGCAACATACATAAAGAACAACTAAAAATGAACCTGCCAGGTATTACGAGTTTCTAGTCAAGAGAGTACACATTTTTGTAAAAGTATCTTGTATACCTGATTGAGAAAGGGGAACAAATATTGATATAGATTGAAATAAGATTTAACACAATGGCTGAAATCACCCACAGCATTAAGGTATTTAGTTAACCATGAGTTAAAAATTATACTAAATAAGCTACACTGGAATTGATTCTCACATAACACAGACAAAATCCCTTAACTGTAAATCATGGCAATGGGTCGACATAGCACAAGTTGAAATCAAGCAAATTACATTATGACTTAGTACAGCATGTGAACCTAGCCTATGGAGCTAGAAAACTCCTTGTCTCAAAAGACTAAGGCCAGGGGGCATTCAGCAAAGCTGGCTAAAAAAAGAGATTTACAGGCAAAGCTTCTTACCAAGAACATAATCTGTAGAATGCATATCACAAGACATGATGGTGGCCAATAATGGATGGCATTAAAGAAGGTACTGAATAAGTAGATGAAGGACAAGAATGTCAAGAGTTATTAGCCTTGAGACTCAGGACATTGTTAGAGGAAGCACATGTCTCTTAGCTGAAATCCTGAAATTAAGTGAAGGATACAATTGAAGAGTTAGAAACAAGATCACCAGCTAAATCAGTGCAGTATTTGGTTTCCTATTGTGCGTTTGCCATTTCTGCTGCTCTTTAACTGAGATGTTTCTGAAAGTACCATTCTCAAATAATTTACAGGAGGCTTGTAAATCAGGCTGAGTCAAGGAAGAAATACCTCAAAATCATAGTGAAATAATTTTTTTTTACTAACTGGAAACAGAGATGGGGTAGAAAAAATGTACCTGAATATTTATTTTTGCTTCCTAGGTCATTAGGCCACTAACATAGTTAAAAATGGGCAATCACTAAAAAAATGTCAATAACTTTTGTTAACTGATTTACAAAGCTGCTGTCTGAATTTCTAGCTTGCAGACAACTCTATTTGCCATCGCAAATAGTGAAGCCAACACAAAACCTAAATAGGGGATTTAGAAATGGCTTCATTTCAGAACAATCTAGGTCTCCTTCAAGGAATTATGTTCATCTCCCTGAGTCCTGGAGAGGGGAAGATAATTTCCACCAGCCAAATAGTTCTGGCGTGGTTTATCTTTTCCAGAAACATGGCAAAACCATACATATACAAATTAAAATCAATAAAATCAGCAAAAATTTGGAGAATTTTTGAAGGATGCCATGCAAGAATACTGAAAAACTGAAAAAATAAACTACGGGTAAAATAATAAGAAATAAACAACTATTTTAATGGTAATAAAAGAGTTGGATTCCACAGATAACATGAAGGTGTCATGCTGCCAACCTTCCAAAAAATCCTACCCAAATGATGCCATAACACCATCGCTGTTCTAAGGCTGACAACTTTGAAATTTCCAGGAAAATGGAAAAGAACTTTGCTCTCAAGTTGTATATACTATTTTCACCCTCAAAATCTGGTTAGAACTAGTTTTGTAGTGCTCGGTGATACTGCTTAAAGGTCAATTATCATACTGATGACACAAGTACTGCAGCATGGAATAAAGCATTACTGTACTACATTGCTAAACAAATATGAGAAGAGCATATTTATACATTTCAAGTAGCATCCGCCCATTCGAAGTATGAAGGCAATACTTTCCAGAAAGTAAGAAACTCCTTCACAAATACACTTATGGTATCAGGTGCCATGAGGTTATTGAAAGCAACCAAGTGGGAAAACAACCTGCTATATGAAACCACTTGTCTCAAATAAATAAGTAAACAGGTAAGACAAACACAAAGGATCTGAGTTCACCCCTGGATAATTCAGGAATTGGATAACCTCTTTGTAAACCAAGCAGTTAATCATTTATTATTTTGTACAAATGAGTCTAATTTCAAGTAGAAGATGCCACGTTTCAGATCAAAGGAATGGAAACATATTTTTTTCAGCAATTTCTCAAGCAATTCCTGGTAACGCTACCTGAGAGAGTGAAAGATATTCCATCTATTCATGACCACATCAGAGCATTTCTTCATCTCTGTACACAGACCTACATCTATCTGCAAGGACATCAACTTCCAGGAGTAGATAGATGTCAACCCATTTAAGAAGCTCAGAAAGCACACCCATACATTTCCAGAATGAGATTCCATGTTAGCAGGCTCAATAATTTCACAATAGCTCAGTACCACGAGTTTCCCAAACCCCTTTGTCCTCCACTAAGTGTCCTCCTATATTATAAGTGAGTGGCCCAAGGAAACAAATTGACAGAAAGTGTCAAGATTGCTAGAATGAAGCCTGTTTTGTTTTACACATCGTGTACAATTAGTGGATAATTCTATAGATGTTGCTGTTTCTAAAAAATTTCATTCAGGAGCCAGATGTAGCCTTTTATGTTTCCATCAAAACGATCTCCTACCAAATACCATTGGCACATTTGCTGTGCTTTTGGGCTAAGCCGCTACAATTCTCTGGCGCCATGGAGGTTTTGCCACACTCCTTAGAGTGTAAATCGTTAGAAATCCAACAAACGCAGAAATCCATTAGCTTAAAACTTTGGGGGCTGACAAAGATTAGCTCTATGAGCAGCGATTAGTGTGAAACAGAAGCTCCAAGCAGCACTCTTAGGGACACGAAGGACAGGCCAATACCTTTCCCCCCAACTTCCTCGGGATCTTTCTCCCGGCACATCTGGCCGGATGTTTTTGAGAACAGGATACTGAATCAGATGCGCTATTACCGAGCTGGTCCCGCAAGGTGAGTCGTATGGCTCAACCCGCCTCGGGAGCCTTCGGTTCAACCCAAGACAATACCCGAGGCCATCCGATTTGGAAAAGAAGGAAAACCCCCGCAGGCTCGCTGCCAGCAGCCCCACCCCTTAACCTTACGTGAGAAGGGAGAGCCGAAAGGGGATCCCTCCCTCCCGCTCAATTCCAAAACCACCGGCTTTATTTCTCACCGTTGACCCGGGATCTGCTCGCCTTCCCATCGCAGAAACAGATCCCCGAGCACTCCGTGACCACACTTCCTGATTCGGGATGGCAGAAGGCGGGAGCAGTAGAGACATTGACGGCCACCTCCACTAATCACCTAACGAATGGAAAGGAGGCGTGGCTTGCGGAAGTCCAAACGCCAATCGTAGCCCCGCACAGTCGGAGCGTAACGCGGAAGGCCAATGGAATCTTCGCTCGACAAGCGCGTCAATGAAAGGGGGGGCGGAAGGGAACCTTGAGAAGCCGGAGTGAGCGACAGGGAAGTTGGCGAATCAAATGGGAAGATAAAAGGCGAGGCGGAGCAATCCTGCCTGAGGTTTAATCGGTCATTCAATCGTAAAAAACCGGGTGAGAGGAGAGGGCTGGATCAGTCACAACTTCAGCCAATTGCGATGATCGTATTTTCTTCTCGTACCAATCAGAGAGAAGACATTACTTTAGAAAACGATATAAAAACCAGGCCGGTGAAGTTGGTGCAAGCTGTCATTGTTTGCGGAGGGCTGGGGAATGACGTCAACTTGTGTGCTTTGGCACCTCTTGCTCATTTGGCAGGAATTCATTGGCGCTGGATTATTTGGCAGTGGCTCCTGTTATTGTTGTCCTATGGAGCGCGAAGCTAAAGTCTTTTGTTTCGGAATGGCATTTTGCATTGCGGTACGACGTTGCAATCATCACAAACTCAGATCCAGGCACCTAAGAATTTATTCTCTGGGTCGTTTCTCCTAAGGACAACAATACAAAACCGAACCTTTAAGAAAAACGGTGGACATTAGGATTTCCTACCGTTTTCCTTCTCCCGGTTCTTATTTTGATTTCACCTCCGTGCAAATAAAATCTTCCTCACTGCTTTGCGATTCACTGTTTGCAACCTACATAAAAGAACTGCAAAGTTTGCGGAGCCTACGTGAAACAAAAGGATACTTGAATAAAATAAAGCCTGAATATACAATTGCAGATTGGAAGAAGGTTTTTTTAAAAAAATTTCCAAAAGTGTTTAAAAAAAACTGGGCACATTCCTAACAAGCTGGAGGCTCTTTCTCAGACAAAATGACAGCAATCGAACATATATATCTATATCCATATCTATATCTATATCTAGAGATAGATAGATAGATAGATAGATAGATAGATAGATAGATAGATAGATAGATAGATAGATAGATAGATAGATAGATAGATA